ATACAATTCTGAAGGTAAGATAAATTCAGCCGATGTACTCAGAGGTTAATTTCATTAAGAATATTAAGCAAAGCATTGCAAGGTAGCTCAGCATCAGCCGTCCTTTCAGAGAGTAAGTGACAAAATATGATATTGTTGATCACTCTTTTTCGAGATGTTCCAACAGACCTGCCTAATCTCTAAGCTCACATCGACAATAAATTCAGAGTCGGTATTTCGCAAAGTTGTGAGTTTGGTTATCCTTATTTTGTCTGGGTACAGTTTAAAAGTTCATCGCAGGCCTCACCGCTGCCTTAGCGACTTTCGAGGATTAACCTCGTGTGCTTTGAGTAATAAATCAGGAATTCAGTAATTTTATAATTAAATTCTTAAACTCATTGATAATATGCTTTGGATGATTGAAAGCTCTGTGTCTTCTGATTAGATGATGAGCGGTACAAAAACCAAAAAAAATTTCTTTAAAATACATATGACCTTTCGACCAAACTTCCGTCGTTCATCATCTGGGAAGATGACCGATGTGAGTTCGGAACAAGTGTCAGATATGTTAAAGAATTTTTTATTTTGTTTCATTCTGCTAACCATGGAAATGTATATCCACTTCCACGGTTTGCGTATAAGAAGCTGTCTGTCAAATTACCGAAGCACATACCGAAATGAAGTATACTGAAATATATTATACGAGATATTTAATAGACGTTGGACACCGCATTATTTGGATCATTGTCACATAGTTCGCTCGTTTTATATTTGACGTTTTAACTGAATTGAAGAGTTTCAAAATCTCATAAGCAAGTTACACACACAAGCATGTCAGATAACGAATGACTCTAGTATTTGCTCTACTGGGGCATATGAACAACCTATGATGTTCAAACGGTAGCATGTAAGGATTATCAGCTCCTCAACCATCGTTTGTGATTAGCGCGTGGTATATATATATACATGGGAATATAATAATGACATACACAGGAATGTATTACTGTATTATAAATGTACCTTCTGATCATTGAATTATTTTCAGATTTCGACAATCCTCGACCATACTATAAATCTCCGGACGACTCAGAAGATTCTTCTTCTTCTTCTGTAGAAGAGGAGATTGTAAAGACAGTACCGCAAGATGAATAAAATTTCAAGTCGAATTTTCGGTTGATCGCATGGTCGATGACATTTTGCGAGACAGGAATGATCTAATTCATGCCTGTTGTTTATACTATATGTTTGTTTTTGAACCTGTGCATCAATTACGCAGTGTTAGCACTCTTCGTAAACTTAGGAGAATGTTTGTCACATGGATTGACAGTTAAAAAGTTTGCGATTGCCTAGTGCAGCAGCTAGTGACGTGCTGAGCCGACAGTCAAAAGAATGTAAACGCGAATTTGTCAAAAAAACGCTCTCCTCTCATGCGATAGAAGGCAGTGAACAGGTACTGCTATATACAACGTGGTAAAATGCTGTTGTTTTTCCTGTTTTGCCCAGGAATTCATCTTTTAGCACCATTTTTTGACATCACACCTCTGTAATTCACAACACATTGAAACAGAATCAGTTTTGACCGTTCTGGAAAGGTCTCCGGTCTGTGCAGTGCGATGATTAAATGAATATACAGTTAAAATTGAATGACGTATCATGCTTTATTGATGAAAAGAAAAGCCACAACTTAATGCAGAACAGTCACTAAGGTAGGCCGGCAATCGGTGACGAACCGCGCCGACCGCAACACGCCCAACGTTACTGGCGGTTTTGAGTCTTCTTCCTCCAAATGAGACTTTTCAAACTCCTGGTATATTCTTCCCAATGTCGTGGTCAGCTTAATCCGTCAATAATGATACCAGTTGATGATCAACCAACATCTCCCGTTTGTGAACCGTGCTATTCATGTTGCTGAATGTAGCTTCTTCCTTCTGCTTTCGATGACAACCTCTTTCACTTCCATCCGCGGTCTGATCACCGTATTCAGAAGGTTTAATCAACATAAAATTACCGGATACAGCACGAATCTTTATAAATCTTTTATTCCTCAAATGAATGAGAATCCAAATATTAGAAACTACTCAAAAAGTTTGATCCTACATGTTTGACACCTATGCACTTCAATCGACCGTCAAAAGCAGACGATATCATATCCAAATGGTGCGTGTTTCTCTTGCCCTATTTTTATCTGCTCCGTGTAACAAATACTTGATAAAGTGCAAAACAAGCTATAGCAAAGTACTTGTTGCTTAATCATAGTAGACAGTTGTATAAGATATGAAAGCAGCCTTAAGAAGTGAGTATTGAAAGTAGCACTTGATAACAGGCAGAAGCCAAGATTTCTAACAAGAGGAAGAATTGTCACTAAAACTGAAATGATGCCAAAGACTGAAGAGTGAGTAAGCATTAATTCGATTCAGGTAACGGGCTGGTACAACAAGAAGCGTCCTCTTCGATGCAACGCCGATAAGTAGAAGAAAATACATATATGCAATATACATAGCACTCCTACACTTATCAAAAACAAATGGTTATGTTATACCGGTTGATTACTGCCAAGAAGATACTGGATTAGCTCTCTATGCAAAAACACTGTTGGCAATAATAGAAACAGAGAACTTTAATTTGTAGTAGAATGGCACTCTAAACAAAATATTTCATTCGATGCAATATGCCAACTAGCATGGAGCATTCTCAGCCGTAAACATATTACTTTATATTACTTTTTAGCACTTATTTTAATTCTTCAATTTGAGAGTTCCATAAACAGCATTGTTATAAAAGAATCAATCATTTTCAATGATCGCTTGTTCCTTTGAGTCGCGGAAGCAGACATTTCGTACAGTTCTTCCAACGTTTTCAATTCTGTGCTAGTATTTGAAATTCGGTCGAAGACAACCGGTTCTGGAGCAAAAGCCTTCGATGCACTTGCCCCAGGTTAATTCTACCCGTCTCCGGGGTCTTCCGTCGGCTGGATGGGCAAATAGCAGTTGCTTTCCTTTCTGGAGGGCTTCTCAAATCCTGTATTTCAATTCATCTTGAGACACGTTAGCCTACAGACGTCTTAGAGAGCCAATTTCAGCTGCTTGTTCTCTAAACCGAAATTTTTCAGTCAAGGCCCATGACTTACGACCGCAGGTGTGTATTGGAATGAAGATCGACTTTTTTGAACACCGAGAGATCAGTCTTCAGACTTAGCTCTGCCCTAGTCATAATGGCTCGGGCGAGTTCACGCAGACCGCCACTGGC